GGAGGGAGGGGAAGCAGCTCTGGGACAATACCAGTGCGAGAGCCAGCCAGCCAGGCTGACTTGCAGCCAGGCTGGGGCCTTGTCATTATGCCTTGCTCAGAACTCCCTTTGTCGCTCAGCTGCCCTGAAATGGGACAGGAAGCTTGACAGCTAATCCAAGAACAAAAGCCAGAAGCCTACCTGCTCCTGTTTGCCCTTCACCTTTCTCCCCCATCCCTCTAAAAAGCGAGTATCTTTTAGGAACAGGGGTGGAGGTGGGGACAAGTGGGCGAGGAGACCTGGCTCTATATTCTAATAGTCTCTTCTGATTCTTTTAGGGAGAGACTACCCCAGCATCAGGGCCTGTTGGTCAGAATGACTACTGCTGTAAGGCAGGAGTGGGGGGCTGCAACTTGAGCTGCAGGCCAGGAGCCATGGAGGCCTCTCTGAGGAGGCATGGACCAGAGAGCAGAGTGAAGGGAGGGAGGCAGATCCCTGGGGCAAATGACAGATATGTCACCAGGGCTGAGGGGCTCTGGAGAGAATAGGGTGCACTTCAGGAGCCCCTGAGGCTGTCCCAGCACACCTCAAACACCTGTGTGTCTTGAAAAAGAGCTAACCTCCAGATAAGGCAGCAGCCACCTTTACAGGGACAGCTCGGGAGCAGGTCCAGACCCACTTTTTATGGTAACATATCTGGGTGTTACAGCCAATCATCTCCTCTGGGTGAATAAGTTGAAAGAAGAAAAATCAGGCAATCGTGCCTTACAATACAGCTAAGTACTTAATTCCTTTTTAATGTTTGCATTATTAACACCAGCATCACAAAACGATATTTTTACTTTCAAGTGATTTAAATGTGCGATTCGGCATCTCAATTACTGGGATCATTATAACTGAAAAACTGAAGCCATGCTCCCTCCCTCCCCAATTCTCTCCCTGAGCCTCATTTCTATAAAGATTCTATAAAGAGCAATCACAGCTCCAGAAAGCCCAAATACCCATTCCAAATGGCTCAGGAGGTGAGGCCCTGGCGGGGGATTTTAAGGAGCCAGAAAGGTGCTGCATTCTGCATTGAGTGTGGAATGAGTGACAGCTGGCACATGGGTGTTAAAAGGGTCATCAGAATGGCACTGGGTGACCCACAAGCCAGTGACCCCAGATTTGGCTCCAGCCACCCGCAGAGACATGGGGCATGGGGTTAGGGGCTACGTAAAACAAGCCAGAAAGGAGCCTTGAGTCCCTCAGGAAACTAACGTCCACAGAAACATTATGCACAAGTTCACAACCATAACACTTCAAGGAGGCTGAAGCGACATCGAGTGGGCAACGGCATGGGCTCTGAATCCTGTCAGCTGGGGTTCAACTTCAGCTGGCAACCGTGGCAAGTCCTTATCCTCTCTGTCCCTCAGTTTCCGTCTCTGTAAAATGGGATAGTAGTGGTACTTATCTCAGAGAGCCATTGTGAGGACTAAATGAGTCAATGTGTATACAGCATTTAGAAGAATGCCTGGCACGTAGCAAATACTCAGTAAGTTATAATTTATCACTATAAGTCCCATTTTAAGATGTAGAACTGGAACTCAGAGCAACTAAATAACCCACCCAAAATTGGCTGCCCCTTTGCCTGGAAGCCGCTCTTGCCCCTCGGGTGAGTCAAGTCTCTCTCACATACAAGCCCTTCCAGACCACCCAGACCCCACTCCCAGATCAGCCGTGGTGGACCCAGCACCCTGACTTGATCTCTCCCAGGCACTTATCACGTCTGAAATTACCTTGGTCAGTTAGTAAATGACTTCATACATATAAAGCACTACTATCATGGTGAGTGGGTGAGTGTGTGTTTGCTTGGTTATCTGTCTCCCCACTTAAAGGTAAAACCCCCAGAATCAGGGTCTTCGCCAGTCTTGTCCACCACAGCTCAGGGTGGTTTCATGGGTGTGTGATCTGTGCATCCACACAGGGCCCTGTTCTGAACGGCCCCAAATTTGGCTTAATGCTCTGCTATTACTGTCCCGAAATTCTCAATAATTTTTTAACAAGTTGCTTCATATTGTCATTCTGTACTGGGCTCCCACAATTTATATAGATTAGTCCTAGATGAATGAATGGATGGATGGATGAATGAATGAATGAATGAATGAGCAAGCTCACATTCCAACCCAGGTCTGTCAGACTCCAAAGCCTCACTTCTGAACCACCAAGACAAAAATACGCCTCTGGTAGGGGGAAGAGAGTAGGGTAGGGAAGTCTGAACCAGGGACATCCCCAACCTGACCCAGAAGATGCTGGGCTGGGTAGGGAGAGCCTTCAAAGGAGCCATTGGTTTGAGTTTCCCTGGCGTCCAGTTCTTCTTCTCAACCTGTCATTGCACTTGTGCCTCAGGGGGTGAAAACCATTCACTGCCCCCTAATGTTACTCTTCCTCTTGCCAAAGACAGAGGGACCACAGTTCCTGCCTCCCAAGACAGCTGTCCTCGGCTAGCCAGGTGCTCTTCAAAGCCACAGCTGTGGTAGGACCTCAGGCAGAAGGACAAGGCCTTGGGGTACCCAGCACAGCCCTAGGTGCCTAGAGTTGATAGTAAATAGATACAACCCTGGCACTTTGGGCCATGGGGCAGCCATCAAAACTATGAGTCTGTAAATACTGTTGAGGTTGGAGCAGGGAGGTACTGTTGAGCTGGTACATGGTGGGGGTGCCCTTGAGTGCATTTTCCACTCTCCCTGAACTCTCTTTACCTCAGGTGGGCACCCCCATCCCCAACTCACTTACTTCAAGTGGGTGTTACACACCCTGGGTCCCCAGAGGTTCTCATTCAATAGATCTTCACTCTTAACACCTCCAGAAATGCTCCAAGCTGTTCCTTGTTCAAACCACCCATGGATCTTTCCTCAAATTAGCCTCCTCTCTCTGCGCCAGTTCTGGCTCTTGAGGCTCAGTGTCCTTGCATTCGCACTTACTCAAATCCTAACCATCCTTCAAGGCCCAGCCAAATGCCATCTCCCTCAGATGCCACCCCTGATCTTTCTCCCCTGCTCCCCTGAACAGCGAGAAGTACTCTTTCTTTCTCCAAACTCTCCACCATTCTCTGACACTTCAATGTAAGCCTTTGTCGCTCTGAATTTTGTGTTTTGGTTGTGTATACACTCCCCTACTCAAGGCAGGAGTCTCCTGGACAACCCTTGTCTAAGTAGGTGAGGGGAGAGGAAGGAGATTTGGGGAAGCCAAGTGTTGTATGCATGGGACAGTCCTAGCTAAATGCAGGACAGTGAAGGCGCAGGGGAGGCTGAGGCTTTCTTAAGGAAAATCTGGAAGGTGGGGGTATCTTTTGAAAAGAAAAATCAGGACATTCCACAAGATGGTGCATCTGGACATATGTAAGTGAAGGCTTGGCCAGGCTGGGCATGGCTCAGCCGTTGAGCTTCAACCTAGGATCCAGGCGATCGGGGTTCGATTCCTGGTCAGGGCACATGCCCGGGCGGTGGGCTCAATCAATGACTCTCTCATCATTGATGTTTCTATCTCTCTCTCCCTCTCCCTGAAAATCAATAAAGATATATTTATAAAAAAGAAAAAAAAAAAAGAAAAGAAGTGAAGGCTTGGTTTAAAATAAATTTTTTTNCCCTCTCCCTGAAAATCAATAAAGATATATTTATAAAAAAGAAAAAAAAAAAAGAAAATAAGTGAAGGCTTGGCTTAAAATAAATTTTTTTTTCCAAGTTTTTTTGCTCCAGCTAGGAAATTGGTGCCTCCCAGGGAAAAGTGCCCGGCTTGGGGAAGGGGCACTCAGAAGGGATATAACAGGGGCTAGGGAGAGAGCTGAGGAGCACTAAAGAAGGAATTGTGGCAATTCCTTAGTACCAAGTAGTAGTGACAGACAACAGGGGCTGCGGACGAGAATGGGGCAGGAGGTGGGATGAGAACCACGTGTGCATAATACGTGATTAAGTTCAAACACATCTTCGTCTAATAACAACCTGTATTTACATGCAAATATATTCATTTATGCAAATTAGCACAGTTCTCCAAGGAGGGCTTTTTAGTCTGGAGCTTGTGCAGGCATTGAACAAAAAAAAGCAAAGCTGTCCCTGGGGTTCTCCACGTTGGACTTGCCCCGGGTTGCTGGGCGGCTTCCAGGAGAACGACGGCTGAACGAGCTCCGCTCGCAAACACAGGCCAGTAGCGCCCCTAGCGGAGGGCAGCGGGGCGCCCCCGAAGTCGCGCATGCTCGCTCCTCTCCCTGCCCCTCCTCTTCGAGCCCGCGAGCCTTAGTGCGCAGGTGCCCGGCTGACTCCTCCCTCGGGGGCGGGGACAAGCGGGCCCGAAATGGCGGCCAGCCGTTACCGGCGTTTTCTTAAGCTCTGTGAGGAATGGCCAGTGGACGAGACCAAACGGGGCCGGGACTTGGGCGCTTACCTGCGGCAGCGGGTAGCACAGGCGTTTCGGGAGGGAGAGAACACCCAGGTGACCGGACTGTGGGGTCCGCTTTCGGCGGGGAGGCGGCTGGGGCGAGGGGAGGCGAGAACGAGGTAGAGGCGGGGCTACTGTCGG